CACCAAATCGTTATATTTCGCCATCGCATCTCAGATGACTGTAATAGAGATTACAGGGGCCGTGCTTACTGCTGGACGTGGCTGTAAAGCGATCGCGACTGCATCTTCTGCAAAAGCGCACAAATCTGTGAGCTCCCAAAAGCCTTGAGTAAGCATGTAGAGCTATATTGACACACCTGGTATTCATGTCACCCACTGGAATTTTATCCATATTTTAACGTGCGCTGTAATAAAATGATGGAAGAAACTTATGTATTAAGCTACCAATGCTGCAGGCGCTATCTGGCACTTACAATACTCTAGACTGGTAAAATTGGGCCATGCTATCGAAAATTTGTGATTGAAGCAAGACGATGCTTCAGCTTGGAATGGACACATACGGCTCGTCTAATGGGTTTGAGTGTGCATCATCCGCAGAGCCTGCCTGTGCAGCGTAAAAAGATGAGGTTATTCTGCGTTACGTCAAACTAATGCGCGCAGCCATTCTTCCTTGCCTTTTTCACAGTCCTTCCTTTGCGTGCCAGGATGTAGTAGCTCCTAAACTATATTGGCAATTTAAGCTCTGCTCGGTATGCCGACCGGCTCCTCCGGAGCTTGAGGTCCTTGGTCTGGTCTCGATCGCTGTGACAAGTAAACACTGCACCTCGCCTAACGCGTTTTTACCTGCTCACTTATAACACAAAAGTTTTCGGGGATCCCAGCAAATTTGGACCGACACGCTCATATACCTTAAATGACAATATTGCTCGGGGCCGCTTCGACGCAATTCCGTCTGAAAACCTTATGCAAAAGCCAAGAAAAATTAGGAATTGGCACATATCTACGAGTCAGATTGGGAGTTTCGAGCAGGTTTGTCCTGCATACCGCTGTACCACTAAAATTCTCCGGCGTTCGGTGTGGCAAGGTTAGTATCCTCGTACATCCTCGCTCGCGAATCCAGAACATGTAAAATTAGCAGTAGATAACTATAAGCAGTCATTGTGGCGCTTCGGAGAGATGGAGTGAGACAAGAAGCGATTATATTTTAGGTGCATGTCCCGACGGCCGACCAGAAAGTTTTCCTTTTCCAAAATGATCAAAAATTGTGATTCCCAAATGCCCTACCTCTGTGGGATTTTGTTAACAATACACACCCTGATCACGACGCAGCTCCTCTGGCAATCTTCAAAACCTTAAAATGATCGCGACTATGAAATTGACGGACCGCTGAAGGCCTACTGACTAAATTTTGCACGCGTTGCCCCCAGTATACAAGAAAATGGAGATGCAATAGTTTGGCACTAGTTACCATACTTATATTTTCACCGTTTCGGGCCACTGCCGCGCATCTAGCCAGCTCGACAATTGATATGTGATGATATTGCCCGTCTCCAGACGTTTGCTACGGAGTTTAGCAGATTTACATCACCGAAGACCATAATGAAGTCCTTCTTCATCTTCTATATCCCGCAAATCCAGAACTAACGGGAGTGAAATGAAAGTATTTACCGCCTGCATATATGCCCCGGTACGGGTAGGTATCTACGTCCGAGATTTAATGCTGGACCTCACATCCACCAAAAGCCATCGCAGGATGTTTGCAGAGGCACTGCCTTCACAACTACCATGGATAGGGTCATTTTTACCAGCCACCACAATGCCTACCAAACATTCAACAAGCTCGTATCGCATTAGGCGTTTAGACGCCTCTACCGACCTTATGACCAACCCAACGAAAATTGGGCCGTATAGCACGGGCGGGAGACCTGATGCCATTCATATCAATCAATTTGTCGGAAATTAAGATCTGATCTCCATTACGACTTCTAACTGCAAGAGGCTAATTGGAGTTACACGTCAAATAGAGGGTTTAAACCTATACTAGCTGACAACACACGCGAGATACTAAACGACTCGTGCACTTCTACCATCCCGGTGATCTCGTAATGATCCAAAGACCGACGCAATTTCGAGCAAAGACGAAGGAAATGTCAGACGGGCCCTACTTTATTAGCACTGTGCATGAAAATGGAAGCGTCACTAATGAAAAAGGAGCAACGACACAGTGGCTATCAATTTGTCGCATCTTCCCGTGCTAGTATGTGTTGCTTCACGGAAGAGAGTATAACATATGATTGATTGATGTTGGATACATGTGATTGATGACATTGTATATATACTATCTAAAGACTCCTCTACGCCTTAGCTGGGGACAATCTGATGGATGGATTGATGGATCGATGGAACACAATGAAGCATTAGCTTATGCACGGTAGGGAAACATGGTATATAATACATTCTAAGTTTTACCTTAAACTCCGCAATACCTTTTCAAGCAAGGCTAGAGGACCGATCACTCCTCTGCAAGCCACGGGTGTGTCATTTTGATATAACGCAACTGACTCCGATCCAACTAACGCCGACTATCTCGACAACACAAACTGGAGGGGGGGATGAACTAAGAAGTTCTTCTCAAAGCAAATTTTGTTCAAGTCTATAACACTTTAGCCCTCGCTTACCACGGTGAGTGACCACAATCTCGCTACTAGTCTGACAAGGCAAAAATTGTGGCGGACTCGTGGTGCACGATTCTTAGCGGGACGGCGGTGGATGCCTCTGGCATCTTATACCGACTGGATGGGTCGAGGACTCTTGGATGACCTTGACTGCCTTAAACTGCACAACCTCTTCCGGACAAAGATAATGACTACAGCTTACAAATTTATAATCACAGGATATACTTAGATGTCAATTTTCTCGACAATGACTGGTGTATTCAGCACTTTAAAATATGGATCCTGTGATCCTGCGAATGCACTCTTTGTGGTATAGATAAAACCGTTTTCATTCTTCGATCTATAGACAGCTTTACATTCCATGAAAGAGCAATTAATTGCTCAATTACCTCTTTCGCTTCCTCATCACCTCCAATTACTAACATGTGACCTCAATTATCGTGACACAGTCTCGCGAGACCCTCTGGCGGCGGATTTATCCGCATTAAAATGGCTCTGCGCCAATTAGTAGTATTATAATAGTAATAGTATATGTCTAAGCAGCCGAGTACGTCGCTTATAATAAGGCTTAGCAACGTGACACATTTGCCCTTCAACTGGATCTTGCCAGGGTGCATGGAACTTAGACCGATAATTTCTTCATATGCATGTCAGGCGACACAGGTTTCCGGATCGTCTGGTGAATTTCATTTTAACCGTTCTTGTATTTTACCCGGCTGCTTTCTAGCCATGGGTTTCCCCCCTCAATGTGAAGATAACCTGACACAAAATCCAATAGGGCGCCGACAGATCCTTACAAGAAAAATGGCTCCGGAACCACTATACAAAAGAGTGGAGGATCTGACAAGAATCCATGGTATCATGCTAGAGTCTAACACGAACGAGCGGACACTAAATGTTGCAAGAGTATGCAAATACTACGACAATCGACGTCAAGTGGACACATCAGATCCTAAAGGCTTTAGTTACTATGTACCTCTATGGAAAGGCCTCGGCTCTCCGACTTCACTTCTTTAAAACTTTGAGTATTACAATGCCTTCAGAAATTTCACTGCCGAGCACGTTGTTGTCGATAAAGCTTGTAGACGGTCACTGAATTCACACACTATCTCGGCTTCCAGCTATAATGCACAAGCAGAGCCAAACACGCTTGGGCTCTTGCTGAGATTTAAATTCGGACGGGATTCTGTTGAGCAAAGATAAGACACTTTTAGTGATAAGCCAAGCCAAAGTGTCGGATACCGCTATAATCACCTAATCAATCTGCGTGGCGGTAAACACTAGGCTGTCCATCTTTGTGTGTCAAAACAATTCTCGCTCCAAAGGCTATAATGTGACACGGCTAATTCAGCGACCCCGATGGACACTATTCGACCTGAACCAGTGAGCGTGTTGCCGGCCTCTTTTAAACGACGGGTGGTTCATTGGCTTTCCCACTTCCAAAGCCAATTAACTCGCCATGGCTCAGGTCACCGTGGACACTTAATTCTCACAGCGAAGGGGGGAGGATTAGGTTTTTTTAGAAAAAGGGAGGGGGTTCGCAGCGAATGCAATGGTCCAATTACACCTTCTGGTCACTCGGTGTGTACAGCAGAAATACGCTTGATGAATGAGTATAATCTTTCACGTCCAACGACCGAACACATGAAAGTTATAGCGGAGTTTGTAAATTATTAAATGTACCGATTTCATTGCATTTCGCAGAGAAAGAAAACACCTTTTACCTGGACACCTTGTCACTTCTTGGTTCCTAATGCAGTACTCTGAAAGACGGTGACGATGTTAAATGAAGTTGGAAGGCAGAAGTTTATTAAAGAAGATATTAATCATCAATTCCAACACACAGACACTATAATGACCGCACATGTCGCAAAAACACCGGACGGGCTGTAACGGAGAACAGACTTTATTTTATATTCTCATTATCCCGCAATAATTATGGTGTCCACAGCGTAGTACGCATTTGACAACGCAGCTTAAGCACTTAAAACTATCGGCATTTATACAATGCCGACAATACAATAAACGTAGTGATTATCGCGCGTTCGTATCTAAGATTCTAAAACGACGCGGTCGCCGTTTTAAGATCGTACATGCGTGGCTTATTGACGAAAGAGGCAACCTCTTTTAGTATTCGACACCTTATATTGTTAACATAGCACCGTCTACTGCTTTTATGTTCATGGATAGGTTTGGAAGAATCGAGAAGGACTGGCTGAGAAGAAGCACAGCATGACGTCATCGGGTGACGTCACAAGGAGAGCTTCTTAAACCTTCTAGAAGATCTTAAGGAGATCGAAGGGTGTTCATTGGTCTAGCTAAATCAGTGGGACTGATATAGTTTGTCTAAGTATAGGAAATGAGTGGCTTAGAGGTAGCGAAGCAAGTTTGCGAACTAAGGACCATAAATATATTCACTTCACAATTTGCCTTCGCCTGCGCACATCAACATCAACAGGTTAACAGCCGCAATGCGCTCCAAACCGCCAAGCCACCACGTCCACCATGACAAACAAGCGGTGTGAAGTCCTCCTGGGTAGTGGAAACTACTTCCACTGGGAGTATAACATGCGCATGACGTTGGCGCGCAAGGGGCTGCTGGTGTACGTTCAAGTCATCAAGAAAAAAGAAGAGATGACGGATGCCTGGCTGTTCAACGACGCTAAGGCACTGGGTATCATCGCTCAAGGCATAGAGCTACAGCACCAGACCAAGATACGATCGGCGACGACAGCTATGCACGCGTGGGTCATCTTGCGGGACTTCTACAACCGCACCATGCTCCACAATCGTGTCGAGATGACACGTCGTCTGCATGAGTTCAAGATGGAGAATGGTTCGACCATGTCGAAGCACTTGGATGCTTTTGACGAGCTTGTTGTCGGCCTCCAGACACTTGGAGAGCCAGTCGATGACTCTCGGCAGCTAGTGGTGCTGCTTAGTAGTCTTCCGACGGACTATGAGCTCATCTCGTCAATTGTGGAGAATTCCAAGGACATTACGCTCATCGAGGTCAAGGAAAAGCTGCCCAAGGAGCATGAACGATTGCAGAGGAAGGAGACTACGGAGAAGGCGTTTCTTGTAAGCAGCAACGGTAGACGGTTCAAGGGAGGCCAAGGTAACGGCCGCAAGGGAAACTATCTACGGAAAACCAACACCGGAATTAAAGGCAAGTGCTTTAAGTGTGGTCAAGTCGGACACTATAAGCGGGACTGCCTGAAGCGTAGCAATGGCGAGGAAGAAGGTGCTGTATTTGCTGCTGGTGAGTTGCAATGCGAAGAATGGCTTATCGACAGCGGGGCTACGTCGCACATGACACCACATCGGAGCGATCTATTTGAGTACAAGGAGTTGAAGACTGGTCAACAAGTCTCTATCGCTGATGGCAAGAAGCTGCAGGTAGCTGGAGTGGGAACAGTCAAGCTGAAAGGTCTAGACGGTCGACGGATCATGATGGTCGATGTCATGCACATACCAGGACTTGACAAACGATTGCTGTCCGTTGGCAAACTGGCAGGACGAGGCATGAGGGTAGAGTTTCAAAGCTCGTCCTGCATCATTTGGAGTGCCAAGCGCGCGATTGCAAGCGGCAAGAAGATTGGCAAGGCGTACTTCCTGGATTGCGAACAAGAAGAAGCCCGGCTTGTAGAATACGCAGGGGCTGAAAGTGAGTGGGAGCTTTGGCACGCTCGCTTGGGACACCCCGGAAGATCTGGTATGGACAAAACACAGCGCGCTACGAGTGGTATGCCGGCGGTAAAGCAGGGCATCGAGAAGCTGTGCAGTGGATGCATGAAGGGCAAGCTGACGATCAATACATTCCCGTCTCAATCGCTAACAATGACGTCACGTGTGTTGGAAATAGTACACACGGACGTGATGGGACCGATGAAGACGGCCTCAAAGGGTGGTGCACGATTCGTATTGACATTCGTAGACGACTACTCAAGATTTGTGGCAGCGTACTTCATGAAGCACAAGAGCGAGGTGACCGCAAGGCTTAGCGAGTTCAAGGCTTTCTATGAGAATCAATGGGGCAAGCACTTGAAGTGTATACGGTCGGATAACGGGGCGGAGTTTGTCAACAAAAAGATTGCCCATATATGCGCCCGTAATGGTATCATGCACCAGCGGACAGTACCATATAGTCCGCAACAGAACGGCGTTGCGGAACGCATGAATCGCACTATCATGGAGAAGGCAAGGAGCATGCTGTACTACAAGGGTATCGACATGCAGTGGTGGGCAGAGGCGGTCAGTACGGCTGTGTACTTGATCAACAGATCCACAAACTCTGCAAATCCGGACGTAACACCGTTTGAGGTTGGTTTCAAGATGAAGCCGTGTATTGAGCATTTGCGTGTGTTTGGATCGCAAGGGTATGCTCACATTGACGACGCCAAGAGGACGAAGCTCGAACCAAAGAGTTACCGGTGTATGTTCCTCGGATATGCGGAGAACACCAAGGGATACAGGGTATTCAATCTGGAAAGGTCGAATGTTGTCATATCGCGCTCCGTAAAGCTGGACGAGCGGGAAGTTGAAGGCATATACGACACGGTGGTACCAGATAAAGCACCATTCGTCAAGTATATTAGGGACACTGATGAAGCAGTGATTCCGGTGGTTCGTCTGTATGATGGAGACGAGACGATGGAAGATGTCGAAGAAAGCGCTCCTGATGTCGAGATGGACGAGATAGAATCGGCTCCATTCGAAACAGGTATCATCATACCTCAAGTACTCGATCCAGAAACTCAAGAACCAAGAGGCGATGAGATAACGGGATATCAAGCTCCGAGACAAGCTTTTCAGGAGGACAGGTTGGTATTTCAGCCGGAGATAAATCGGACAAGACGCTCACGAGACAGAATGCTGCTGCTTGAGAATGGGAATAGCAGTGAAGACACGTCAGAAGCTAGCGATGGACCACCTTCTCCAAAGCGTGCAAGAATTGATAACGAAGGTCTCATTGCAGAGGCTGTATTACCTATGCTGCAAGCGTTGGCGAGGCGGACGACGCTCCATCAACATACAGCCAAGCGTTAAAAGGCGAAGACTACAGCAAGTGGATTCAAGCGATGCAAGCGGAGCTCAAGGCGCACGCCGATAACGGGTCCTGGACACTGGTACCAAAACGGCAAGACATTCGACCAATCGTGTGCAGATGGATATTCGCTAAGAAGCGAAACGAACACGGACAAGTGGTGCGCTACAAAGCTCGACTCGTCGCAAAGGGTTCAAGCAGAAATTCGGTGTCGACTTCTTCGAGACGTACTCTCCCGTGGCAAAAATGAATCCGATCAGGGTTGTGCTAGCTGTGGTGGTGACAAAGGGATACGTCACTGAGCAGCTGGACGTAGACACGGCGTTCTTGAACAGTGGTCTCAAGGAAGAGGTGTACATGGAAGTGTCAAATGGCATAGCTAATGCGAAGAAGATGATGTGCAAGTTGGACAAGGCAATCTACGGTCTCAAGCAGGCTGCAAGTGCGTGGAACAAGACAATCCATGCTGTATTCTTACAGATCGGATTTCGTAGCAGCGGAGCAGATCGGTGTATCTACGTCAAGCATCAAGATGACAACTATGTCTATGTTTGTCTCTACGTCGACGACATGATCATCGCCGCCAAGACCAGCAGGGAGATTCAAGAGGTCAAGACAGCACTCAAGAGCTCATTTCGTATGAAGGAGCTAGGCAAGGCTAAATTTATTCTTGGCGTGGAGATTGATCATGACCACAACTGCAGTAAGCTAATGATTCGACAGACTCGATACATCGATGATGTGGACAGCCGTTTTAATCAAGAGGACGCCAAGGCAGTGGTCAACCCATGCGAGTCCGGCCTGGAGCTGTCAAAGAAGCAATCCCCAATGACGGATGTCGATAGAGCAGAAATGCAGTCAAAGCCGTACAGGTCGCTGATCGGATGTTTGCTATACATCACGACATGTACGCGCCCAGATGTGATGTATGTCATCACGCAGTTATCAAGGTTTTTGGAGAATCCAGGTCAGCAACATTGGAAGGCAGCCATTCGTGTTCTTCGGTATCTCAAGACGACAAGAGACTACGGGATAATCTACGACGGCAGCGCTAGCGAAGTAACAGCTACAGCGTATACGGACGCGGACTGGGGTAGCAACATCGATGATCGACGCTCCGTGTCAGGGATAATGGTGATCATCGGTGGCGCACCAGCCATATACAAGTCCAAGTATCAACGCACGGTGGCTCTAAGCTCTGCTGAGGAAGAGTACATGGCTTTAAGCCTGTGTACACAGGAAGTGTTATGGGTTCGTGCGCTGCTTAAGGATCTAGGTCACGAGCAAGTGGGAGCAACGTGGGTCTGGGAAGACAATCAAGGAGCAATTGGGCTTGCCAGCAATGCCGGCTACAATGCCAGAACCAAGCACGTTGACATTCGTCACCACTTCATCCGGGAGAATGTGGCCCACGATATCATCGTGGTCAAGTACATCTCCACCATGGACCAATTGGCCGACATGCTAACGAAGGCTCTGGGGACCAAGCGACTGAACTATTTGATACAAGCAAGCTGCATTGGACCCAAGGGCATTTAGCAATAGCGGTGAGTGGGAGTGTTAACATAGCACCGTCTACTGCTTTTATGTTCATGGATAGGTTTGGAAGAATCGAGAAGGACTGGCTGAGAAGAAGCACAGCATGACGTCATCGGGTGACGTCACAAGGAGAGCTTCTTAAACCTTCTAGAAGATCTTAAGGAGATCGAAGGGTGTTCATTGGTCTAGCTAAATCAGTGGGACTGATATAGTTTGTCTAAGTATAGGAAATGAGTGGCTTAGAGGTAGCGAAGCAAGTTTGCGAACTAAGGACCATAAATATATTCACTTCACAATTTGCCTTCGCCTGCGCACATCAACATCAACAGGTTAACAGCCGCAATGCGCTCCAAACCGCCAAGCCACCACGTCCACCATGACAAACAAGCGGTGTGAAGTCCTCCTGGGTAGTGGAAACTACTTCCACTGGGAGTATAACATGCGCATGACGTTGGCGCGCAAGGGGCTGCTGGTGTACGTTCAAGTCATCAAGAAAAAAGAAGAGATGACGGATGCCTGGCTGTTCAACGACGCTAAGGCACTGGGTATCATCGCTCAAGGCATAGAGCTACAGCACCAGACCAAGATACGATCGGCGACGACAGCTATGCACGCGTGGGTCATCTTGCGGGACTTCTACAACCGCACCATGCTCCACAATCGTGTCGAGATGACACGTCGTCTGCATGAGTTCAAGATGGAGAATGGTTCGACCATGTCGAAGCACTTGGATGCTTTTGACAAGCTTGTTGTCGGCCTCCAGACACTTGGAGAGCCAGTCGATGACTCTCGGCAGCTAGTGGTGCTGCTTAGTAGTCTTCCGACGGACTATGAGCTCATCTCGTCAATTGTGGAGAATTCCAAGGACATTACGCTCATCGAGGTCAAGGAAAAGCTGCCCAAGGAGCATGAACGATTGCAGAGGAAGGAGACTACGGAGAAGGCGTTTCTTGTAAGCAGCAACGGTAGACGGTTCAAGGGAGGCCAAGGTAACGGCCGCAAGGGAAACTATCTACGGAAAACCAACACCGGAATTAAAGGCAAGTGCTTTAAGTGTGGTCAAGTCGGACACTATAAGCGGGACTGCCTGAAGCGTAGCAATGGCGAGGAAGAAGGTGCTGTATTTGCTGCTGGTGAGTTGCAATGCGAAGAATGGCTTATCGACAGCGGGGCTACGTCGCACATGACACCACATCGGAGCGATCTATTTGAGTACAAGGAGTTGAAGACTGGTCAACAAGTCTCTATCGCTGATGGCAAGAAGCTGCAGGTAGCTGGAGTGGGAACAGTCAAGCTGAAAGGTCTAGACGGTCGACGGATCATGATGGTCGATGTCATGCACATACCAGGACTTGACAAACGATTGCTGTCCGTTGGCAAACTGGCAGGACGAGGCATGAGGGTAGAGTTTCAAAGCTCGTCCTGCATCATTTGGAGTGCCAAGCGCGCGATTGCAAGCGGCAAGAAGATTGGCAAGGCGTACTTCCTGGATTGCGAACAAGAAGAAGCCCGGCTTGTAGAATACGCAGGGGCTGAAAGTGAGTGGGAGCTTTGGCACGCTCGCTTGGGACACCCCGGAAGATCTGGTATGGACAAAACACAGCGCGCTACGAGTGGTATGCCGGCGGTAAAGCAGGGCATCGAGAAGCTGTGCAGTGGATGCATGAAGGGCAAGCTGACGATCAATACATTCCCGTCTCAATCGCTAACAATGACGTCACGCGTGTTGAAAATAGTACACACGGACGTGATGGGACCGATGAAGACGGCCTCAAAGGGTGGTGCACGATTCGTATTGACATTCGTAGACGACTACTCAAGATTTGTGGCAGCGTACTTCATGAAGCACAAGAGCGAGGTGACCGCAAGGCTTAGCGAGTTCAAGGCTTTCTATGAGAATCAATGGGGCAAGCACTTGAAGTGTATACGGTCGGATAACGGGACGGAGTTTGTCAACAAAAAGATTGCCCATATATGCGCCCGTAATGGTATCATGCACCAGCGGACAGTACCATATAGTCCGCAACAGAACGGCGTTGCGGAACGCATGAATCGCACTATCATGGAGAAGGCAAGGAGCATGCTGTACTACAAGGGTATCGACATGCAGTGGTGGGCAGAGGCGGTCAGTACGGCTGTGTACTTGATCAACAGATCCACAAACTCTGCAAATTCGGACGTAACACCGTTTGAGGTTGGTTTCAAGATGAAGCCGTGTATTGAGCATTTGCGTGTGTTTGGATCGCAAGGGTATGCTCACATTGACGACGCCAAGAGGACGAAGCTCGAACCAAAGAGTTACCGGTGTATGTTCCTCGGATATGCGGAGAACACCAAGGGATACAGGGTATTCAATCTGGAAAGGTCGAATGTTGTCATATCGCGCTCCGTAAAGCTGGACGAGCGGGAAGTTGAAGGCATATACGACACGGTGGTACCAGATAAAGCACCATTCGTCAAGTATATTAGGGACACTGATGAAGCAGTGATTCCGGTGGTTCGTCTGTATGATGGAGACGAGACGATGGAAGATGTCGAAGAAAGCGCTCCTGATGTCGAGATGGACGAGATAGAATCGGCTCCATTCGAAACAGGTATCATCATACCTCAAGTACTCGATCCAGAAACTCAAGAACCAAGAGGCGATGAGATAACGGGATATCAAGCTCCGAGACAAGCTTTTCAGGAGGACAGGTTGGTATTTCAGCCGGAGATAAATCGGACAAGACGCTCACGAGACAGAATGCTGCTGCTTGAGAATGGGAATAGCAGTGAAGACACGTCAGAAGCTAGCGATGGACCACCTTCTCCAAAGCGTGCAAGAATTGATAACGAAGGTCTCATTGCAGAGGCTGTATTACCTATGCTGCAAGCGTTGGCGAGGCGGACGACGCTCCATCAACATACAGCCAAGCGTTAAAAGGCGAAGACTACAGCAAGTGGATTCAAGCGATGCAAGCGGAGCTCAAGGCGCACGCCGATAACGGGTCCTGGACACTGGTACCAAAACGGCAAGACATTCGACCAATCGTGTGCAGATGGATATTCGCTAAGAAGCGAAACGAACACGGACAAGTGGTGCGCTACAAAGCTCGACTCGTCGCAAAGGGTTCAAGCAGAAATTCGGTGTCGACTTCTTCGAGACGTACTCTCCCGTGGCAAAAATGAATCCGATCAGGGTTGTGCTAGCTGTGGTGGTGACAAAGGGATACGTCACTGAGCAGCTGGACGTAGACACGGCGTTCTTGAACAGTGGTCTCAAGGAAGAGGTGTACATGGAAGTGCCAAATGGCATAGCTAATGCGAAGAAGATGATGTGCAAGTTGGACAAGGCAATCTACGGTCTCAAGCAGGCTGCAAGTGCGTGGAACAAGACAATCCATGCTGTATTCTTACAGATCGGATTTCGTAGCAGCGGAGCAGATCGGTGTATCTACGTCAAGCATCAAGATGACAACTATGT